TAAAAATCAAAATTTGCTGCTCGTTTCTAGCAAAGCCAGCAAGTTGCTTCACACCACCCACAATCATATCAAAGACGGGGGGAAATATCTCTGCTCGCATCAGTCTCATTCCAATTCAATAGGATTTTTAGCCTTGCTAACTGCCACATTCTTCGAGTTGGTCCTTCATGGTCCCAACCGATTAAGGGAGGACTTTCCCAAATTGGAGGATCAAGATCACCGATTAGGGAAATGCAGATCTCACTCTGCTTCATTTTACTAAGCATTATGTCTTTAATTTCTGTCAGGATGTTGTCTGTGTAAGAAGCAGCCAGGACCTTGCAATGATTCCATCTTGTTGATTGGATTCATTTCAAAGGAAACTTTTTGCGTTTCTCTATAATTATTATTTTTTTTTTTTAGAAAAAGCCGAAGCAGTATATGCATGGAAGGTACACTTTTGCTAAATGATTTCCTTTGGAGGGGAGAATTTACTTACAATTTTGCAAAGTTTCTCTGCGTTTTCATCGGACTCTTTTGAAACAAATTCTCCATCAATAGTCAACTGGTCTACATCATATGTGTTTGCGGAATTTTCTCTGCACAAATGATACGTACATAGTAAGGAACCCATGTTGATTCTGTCTGTGTGGCTCAACTTGTTAGGGTCAAATCTTGAAACATCCATTCCCCCATATCCTGGCTGATACGTTGCTGATATCTGGAGAAACCCAGCGTACTGAATAAAGAGGAAAACAAAGGGTGGTGTGCAAGACGGTGCCTAGCACTGCTTGAAAATTTGGCTTTACAAAACAAGGAAAAATAATGTAAATTTAATATTTACAATACCATTAATTGCCTTTTCTGAAAAAAAAAAATGTCTAAGTTGTAAAAGATTACCTTTAATTTAGTTGGTTTTACCTGAACTTAAATATGATGTTATATCCCACTTCTTGACTTTACAAAAAAGAGAAGTTAAAAACATAACAACACATTGAAATCTGTTTAAATGCTTCAGTCATGTCTGTTTTACACAAAATGCTTCCTTTGCCAAAATGCTTTTTTTTTCTATATCTTCATTAATATTCCCATACTTAGAGAACACAGTTTTTTTTTTTATCTATAAGATCATTGAAACTAAGTTTCTTTTTATTGTTTGCAGATGACAGTTCAAATATCAAAGATATTCCTGAAATATTTATGGATAGGTATTCCCACATGACCTATTCTAAATTTTTCGAATGGAGGTTTTGAAAATGGTCATTTAGCATAGCCTTTCTATATTTGAGTATTGAGCAATTCATTTACCACTTCATGATTTTTCCTGACTGTCATAGCATATTAGCATTTACAAGTATGAAATTTATTGCATTATTGCAAGTCACGAGAGTATCAAATCCATATTCTAGACTTGAGCACAAATACTTAACAAATTCTTGTGAACTTTCTAACAAAGTTACCAAAGGAGAAGCTTACCTTTGAATATACGGTGTCCTACCTTGCTTAAATCTTTTGCTATATAATTATTTGCCGCTTTCTTCATCGTCACATATTTTCATCGTTTGTTTTCACTAATAGAGATCAGACCTGTTTTGCCCGATTTTACTGATTTTTATGCCCCGCCATGAATATGGCCGGGGCAAATAGTGTTTGTCATGTCCGTCTTCCGTCCTTCTGTCCTTCCGTCACACTTTGCGTTTAGCTCTGTTCAAAGCTCAGTTTCAAAGAAACTGTCCAAGATATTTTTATCAAACTTCATATGCTGATAGATATTGATAAGATCTATGCAACTGCATCAACATTTTGTTTACCTTAACCTTTCCTTTGACCTTGACCTCACTTTTCTTTAAATTAGTGTTTAGCTCATTTTTAAAGAAACCATTCAAGAAAGAAAGTGTAATCAAACTTCATATGTTGATACATACTGATGTAAGCTATTCAACTGCATCCACATTTTTGACCTTGACCTTTTTTGACCTTGACCTCACTTTTCCTAATTAGTGTTTAGCTCAGTTTTAATGAAACCATTCAAAATATTTTTAACAAACTTCATATGCTGATACATACTGATGAGAGCTATTCAACTTCATCAATATTTTTAACCTTGACCTTTCCTTTGACCTCACTTTTCTCAAATTAATGTCAAACTTCATATGCTGATACATACTGATGAGAGCTATTCAACTGCATCAATATTTTTTGACCTTGACCTTTCCTTTGACCTTGACCTCACTTTTCTTAAATTAGAGTTTAGCTCAGTTTTAAAGAAATCATTCATAATATTTTCATCAAACTTTATTTGCTAATACATACTAATGTAACCTTTTCAACAGCATCAGCAATTTTTGACCTTGACCTTTCTTTGACCTTGACTTCACTTTTCTCAATTTGTGTTATAATGTTGCATTACTAATATACCCTCGGCGGGGCATTCATGTCCTATGGACATATTTCTAGTTTCTCTGCTCAAATAATATATAATTGACTGTACTTTTCTTCCTTTCTTTAAAAAAGAAATTTTATAAATATATTCCTTATGATCATATTATTATCAAACTGTTTAATCTGTGTTGCTCATCTGTATTTATCTTCTGTTTTAAAGATGTTGCTCATCTGTATTTATCTTCTGTTTTAAAGATGTAGCTAAAAAAATTAAAAGAATTAAAATAAAATACAATAGACAAAATCTGAAAATTCAAAAAGGCATATAATGCTACTTTTATAGGAGTGTCAAGCAACAAATAAAAATTCAGCATCAACAGCTTTACCTTCAAGTTAAAAAGATTAAAGATTATGGAGCAAATCCTAAATGAAAATAGATTCCGTAACATTAAAAAAGTATATCCAAAAGGGAAAAGGGTCAAATTTGCATTGATTATGGTGAAATTGGGAATTGGAAATGAGGATGATGTGTATGTAGACTATGGGAGCCAAAGGAGCCAAGAATGATTACAATTTTTTAAATTGGCGAAGAGTTATTGGTGTGGAAATTGATCCCATTTACTACTCTGCTGTAAAGTAGAGGAAATGAAAGAAGGGGGTTCTTTCAAGTGTCTCTTAATTATAAGAAAAAAATAATCAATTTTTTAAATTTGTGGGAAAAAATATTTTAACAAATGATTTTTTTCAGAATATTGTTTTTTCCCCATAACATTCTGAAAAAAAAAATGCACTTTAAAAGATTTTAATCTTAAAATGATTTACATTTTTAATAACTTAATTTGTTCATTGAATTTTGCTTAATTGTAACGCTGGTAGCGCACCATACATTTACACCGGTATCAGAGTAACGTCCCTTAACACTGGAACTTACCGGCGGTATAGTTTTCATTTGTATCTCAAGATTTAGTGAGTAAACAAAATGATTTCAAGCTGATATATTATTGAAACGCATGTTTTATTGTTGATGAGTGACATTTATTGCTTATAATTCGAAGTATTTAAATTTGTTTTCAACCTTCATCTATAAGTACACCGGTACCGTAGATCCCCGGCATGTATGAAATAGCATAACACAAACCAAACAAGGCGAAAGTGATAATTTTTTCCTACTAAATCACAATTTTTCAATGAATATGAGCGTATCTTCACTGTTTTGTTTCAATATTGTGAACTAAAAGTATGTGCAAAACTATATTTCAGTTATAAAAACATGGAGAAAGGACTAACTATACTGTAAAATTTCTCTTTATGACACAACATTTGCATCTTTAGAAGAAATGTTTTAAGTTCATTTAGCCAACTGTCCTATTTTAAACATTACTTATATGAGCTTGAAGCATAAGGGATAGCATTTAAATCTCGAAGAAAAAAATTCATATCTAGGATTTATATTGCTTGTGTTAATGTATCATAGACATGTATGTGCCTCTGCTGGGGATTGAACCCCGGGCCTCTGGCTTGTCAGTCCAGTGCTCCACCAATTGAGCTAAAGGGTTAACCCACTAGCCCAAGCTAGTAGGATGCCATGTATCTTACACTACCACATTGTCCCCCTCCAAAAAATGAGATGTCCTCATCTCTTTTGGAGTGACGACGCCTGTGGGGCGAAGTTCTTGGGGCAATCACTTTCACCCGCCAGAGAACATCCGGGTCCCAGCGTGGGCGCCAAATGTAACAGAGACATGTATGTGCCTCTGCTGGGGATTGAACCCGGGGCCTCTGGCTTGCCAGTCCAGTGCTCTACCAAATGAGCTAAAGGGTTAACCCACTAGCCCAAGCTAGTAGGATGCCATGTATCTTACACTACCGCATTATAATTTTTTCCAAATTCTTTCTAAAACAGGTAAAGATGGTGATAATTTAACATGTTATAGTAGGCTATTCCATAAATGTACGCCTGAATATTGAAGAGAGTTTGAAAATAGAAATGTTCGATGCTTTGGTAATCGAAGATTATAATTTAATTCCGAACGCAATGAATAGGAATCGGAGCTATGAAAAATAAAAAGATCCTGGAGATATTCAGGGCTCATACCATAAAAAGTTTTATACAATAAAATACACTTATGAAATGTAACTTAAATTGCAACTTCAAAAGAAAGATGGTTGACATTAATTTAGGCAGAAATCAATAGGTTATCAATACTACAGCCTAATAAAACATCTGCAATTTATTGTAAAGAGTCCAGACTTGCAGGGTGTCAAGGACCTTGACTCTCATGATGGAGATCATAACCTTGACATTGCAAATGAGTGATTGATTGTTTGTATGTTGTTTTACGTCCCATCCGAGAGTTTTTCACTCGTATTGAGACGTCACCATATACCGCTGAAGGGCTTCAAATTTTGACCTTTACTCGGCATTCAGGGCCATTGAGTAGTGAGGGATCTTTATTGTGCCAACGCCTGCCGTGACACGGGGCCCGGGTTTTTATGGTCTCATCCGAAGGACCCGCAACTTTCACTTCAAAGTGCTGAGGGCATGGCGAAGGAATTTTTATCGACTTGGGTCAGTCGCAGCCGAGATTCGAACTCACGACCTCTCGATCACGGAGCGAGCGCTCTACTGACTGAGCTACCGTGAACGGTACACTGCAAATGAAGATTCCTCAGTAGGTCTTCTCTGTTCCTTCAGAGCAGAAGCTGCATTCAATGTATTTGGCCATCTGACACGCCCATCTTCAATCCAAACCCTAGGTATCGCAAACTCGAGTTCTTTTCTATCTTCCTTCCACATAGCCCTGACCCACTTCTTAATCAAAGAGAAATAAACAATCACACGTACACTTGTTTTTATCATCAAAACATAGGGTATCTACAATTTTTGAGCTTGATGATCTTATGGGAGCTTTATTCTACTTTATTATCAAGTTTAAAAGAATTTACAATGTAATTTTAAGGTACTTAAACATTATGCAATGAAAGGAATATCTAAAATAAAATTCATATTCTTAAGTACATTAACTAAATTTTACCTTAATATTGCCGTTTAATCCCATGCAGTAAAGGGAACATGGTATAATTATGTTCCCCAAACGAAGTTTGGGAACATATTGTTTTTACTCTGTTTCTTATTATTATTATTATGTTCCCCAAACGGAGTTTGGGAACATATTGTTTTTACTCTGTTTCTTATTATTATTATTATTATTATTATTCTTTTTTATTCTTATTTCTTCTCCGGTACTTTTTGTTCCGCGAGTGTTCTCGGAAACTGCTCATCCAATTGAGTTAAAACCTTTTTAGGGTTAATAGGTATGTTGTGTAGATGTGCGGAACGAAGGTCATTTTGCGCGCACATGCATGCACGTGCGGGCGCGTGCAATGAGTGAAATGACTGACATAATTTATATAGCCGTAACCTTTACATTTTTTTATGAAATGCTTTGAAACTCATAACATAAGTATATATTAGTAGAGTTAACAAGATGAAATTGATGAATTAGCATGAACTCACGCGCATGCACGTGCGCTTCTCTCTGATTGGCTGAAACAAAAGTCTTAATATCTTCCTTGTTTTTTGACAAAATACTTTGAAATTTAAAACATAGTCATACATTAGAAGGTTCTACAATATAGTATATAAGAATTATCATGAAAACACGCGCATACGCGTGTGCTGCAATCTGATTGGCTTAAACTTTAAATGGCTATATCTCTCTTGGTTCTCAACAAAACAGGATGAAATTTAGAATATGAATAGGTACAATGGATTCCTACATTATGCTACTATCAAAATTGAATTCAAGACCATGCATGCGCGTACGTGCAATGCGAAAAATGACCAATATAATTGATATAACTGTAACTTCTATACTTTTTGTTGAAATGCTTTGATACTTACACTATAGACAGATACTAAGAGTGTAGAAAAGTTGATATGGTCAACATGCACGTGCGCGCGAGTGCAATGCTAAAATGACCTATAAAATTGATATAGCTGCAACTTTTATACTTTTTGATGAAATGCTTCAATACTTATAATATAGAGAGATATTAATGGTGTAGACAATATAGTTTGGTAAACATGTACATGCATGCACGTGCGCGCGCATGCAATGCTAAAATAACCTATACACTTATATAACCGTAACTTTAATACTTTTCGATGAAGTGATTTAATATTCATTATATAAAAATATATTAATAGTGTAGACAAGATGATATGGTCAACATGTGCATGTATGCAATGCTAAAATGACCTATATACTTGATTTAGCTGTAACATTTATAATATTTTATGAAATGCTTTGATACTCATTATATTAAGATATATTGATCATACAGACAAAATGGTGTGGTCATCCTGCACTTGCATGCACTTGCGCACGCATGAAATTCTAAAATGACTCATATACCTGATATAGCCATAACTTAAAACATTTTTTGATGAAATGTTTTGACACTCAGAATATAAAGATGTATTAATAGTATAGACAAGATGACATGGTCAGCATGCACATGCATGCACGTGCGCGCTCGTGTAATGCGTAAAACAACCAATGTACTTGATTGCCTTATTTAATGAAACTTATTGGAAATAAGACACCAAAAGGAGGTTGGGGAGCGTTTGGGGAACATCTGTAACGGTCCCCGTTACAATTATAACTAGTTATTATTATTTTTCTTCCTAGGTACTTTTTTGTCCGTGAGTGATCTCCAAAACTACACATCCGATTGAGGTGAAACCTTTTTAGGGTTACTAGGCATGTTATGTAGATTTGCGGAACGAAGGTCATTTTGCGCGCACGCGCATGCACGTGCGTGCAATGCGTAAAATGACCAATATACTTGAAATAGCTGTAACTTTTATATTTTTTGATAAAATGCTTTGATACTCAGAATTTAAGGATATATTTAAAGTATGAACAACATGACATGGTCAACATGCACATGCATGCACGTGCGCGCACGCGCAAAGCGTAAAATGACCAATTTACTTGATATAGTTCTAACTTTGAAACTTTTTGATGAAATGCTTTTATATATTTATATGTATTTAAAGTTTAGACAAGACGACATGATCACCATGCACATGCTTGCATATGCATGCACGTGCGCGCGCTCGCAATGTGTTAAATGACCAATTTACTTAATATAGCCGTACTTTTTATATTTTTTGATGAAAAGCTTTGATATTAAAAATATACAGATATATTAAAAGTGTAGACAAGATGATGTGGCCATCATGCACATGCGCGCGCGTGCAATGTGTTTAATGACCAATATACTTAATATAGCCGTAACTTTTATATTTTTTGATGAAAAGCTTCGATACTAAGAATAAACAGACATATTATAAGTGTAGACAAAATGGCATGGTCATTATGAACATGCACACAGGTGCGCGTGCGCGCAATGCTAAGATGACCAATATACCTGATATAGCTGGAACTTTATATATATTTTTTGATGAAATGTTTTGATACTGAGAATATAAAGATGCATTTATAGTATAGACGGAATGACATTGTCAACCTGCACATGCATGCACGTGGGCGCGCGTGAAATGCGTTAAATGACCAATATACTTAATTGCCTTATTTAATGAAGCTTACAGGAAATAAGACACCAAAAGGGAGTTGGGGAGCGTTTGGGGAACATCTGTAACGATCCCCGTTACAATTAATACTAGTCTCTATTAGCACGGTTATAGGGCAAACTGCAACTTTTCTATCTATATCATGCTTTTTTTCTCCCCGTGCTGTAATGCTACGTTTCTAATGACAACATTTATAATTATACCTCGTATAAATAATCACTAGTAAAATAGAATCTGATTGACTGAGAGTCACGTGACCGTCGTCTTGCCCTGCAACAAAACATCGTGTTACACGTTTGTCACGTCACAATGCGGCGACTCAGATGATTACTACCTAGCTAGATTGTTGAAATATCGTCGATTGATTTTGTCTATTCACACGTGTATAATTAGATATTTAGAATAGTGTTTTCAAAGCTAGGGTTTGAATGTTATACTAATGTGGAAGTCACACTGACTTGTCTCGAAGGTTTTTTATGAAGCGCGGCTAGAGGTGTAACTTACATCTGTTTCATATTGTTCTTATCAAATAATTACTTTATTCATTGGGTCTTTTTTATAATTCCTGTATTGTGTTTGATTCGGAATAATAAACAATTTATTACATGAATGTTGCGTTACTTTGGGGAATATGATTTTTCATGGGCGAAGAAATTTTCATGTCTCCCTCACAATCACGCAATAAATGTATATTAACTTTGATGTTGTGAAATTACTGTGCATCTTAGATCTCCATTTCCTTGTTTTTCTTGCAAAAAAGCAATTCAAATAAACGTAAATAAATTCCTTCTCCAGATCTTAATATGAAAAATCCTGCTCGAACAATGTCAGAATAAATACAGCATGCTTTATATAAATTCGTACTTAATTACAGGTACTTGTGGACAGGACCCACTATAGAATAATTATAACGATTATTAATTAATTATACCACAGGAAAAATAGGGAATTTTTTTTTAATTCCATTGAAAAATATCGGTTTACGTATACAAACAACAATAAACAAACAAACAACGCAGTTCTTCACAACAACGTGTACGTTTTTCACTGCAAAAGCTGGGTAGAACCACTGCAGCCTTCTTTTTGCTTTAAATCCAAGGTAAATGGCAATCACAACCTCGCCATCACACGCAATCCACCTCGCCGAGAGACCACTCTCCCTCACCACAAACTCTGCATTTTCTTGAGTCCATAACATGGACTCTGTCCTCCGACTTCCTGGCATCCTGTTTTTCTTACCGTGGGAAATGCCCAATGCGTTTATAAACAGGTAAAAACCACCATCCCACCATGCATTCGATCTGCCAGTTCTTTGACTCAAGGAGTCAAAGAACCAGTTTAAGAATGCATCCATCGAAAAAGCCACTGATCACAGAAACTAATGAGGAAACTAATACAGTCATTTACAGTCACTGACGTCACACCCAATAGGTTAACAAAGAGGTCACATTCACTAAAGGACATACCCAAATGTTAACAAAGAGGTCAATGTCACTCACAGTCAATAGTGAGTGACAACGTGAGTGAATGCACGTGATTAAATAGTCACGTGTTTAAAAACATCAATCTTTTCTTTTAGTGTATACACGTGAGAGTCACAGTCACAATATCATATCTTCAATTGTGTTCAATTGTCCTTGCCCTGCTTGTCACTATCATGATCATCCGATGTTTCGGCCGACAATGTATCATCATTCGATCGAATTAACTGTTGATCCAGATTCAAGGTTGGAGCTATTTTGCGCAGAGTTGGTGTAATCTGCAGATCTTTGGTAGAACCCTAGATCATGATTTTTTCCCCATTTCATCCTGACAGCTTCCAATTAAATCTTTCATTTCCTGATTTTGAACATCATTGAGACCTTTCTCAATGGAAGTGTTAATTCCTCTATTCGGGCGGTCAACTTCCGCTTGTAAAGACTTCATGAGGAACTTAAGGAGAGATAATTTCTTGTACAGCATGTACCGTTTCGGAATGTTTGTACGTGCTTGTAATGGAGATATCTTGTTTCTTTTGTTCTTTCTCTGGGGAGCCGCTAGTATCCAGAACAGTCCTCGCTCACTCAACCCAAAAAAGTCACATTTCGACGATCGTATCATTACACTGCATGCAAAATTTCCTTGAATGGCACCCGAATCCCTTTCTCTGAATGCTAAAATCTCTTCCAATGTCGAATGTGATAATCAACATCCTGTCGGTTTCAGATCTTGGAACACAACGTCAGGATATCCCTCACATATGCCATTTTAACGTTTGAGTTTTTCTAATACTAAGCAATGCAAACTTCCGCTGCTGTGAAGGTTTGCCTTAGGAATCCACTCCAGACTCTATTCTCGAAGCTGCAGACACAAACTGGGATTCAAATGATAAATCTGTTGAATAAACTGAAGTTTATATGGAAGCATCGTTTTTTTTTATTAAAGACTACAAAACACAGACCTGTTTACTCTTACGATTTCGCCGTATTTTGTACGCATTTTGAGTCCTAAATACGTCTCACGTTTTACTTTAATGAAAATACGGAAATCCGATATCCGTTCGTTTGGATTTTAGCAGATAGTTTTCGTCATGATCTTTCTCAGTTTGACGCTTTTTAATCACTAAAAAAGAAAGATTTCAAACACTTAAGTGATGTCGGGTTGCCAAAACGCGGTGGTTTCTCTAGTAATATATGTAAAATCGATGGAAAGTAAAATCTTATGGGTAAATGCCAAATCTCACTTACAAATCTAAGAAAAAATACTGAGAGACAACAATACGGGTAAACAGGTCTGAAAACATGAAGTAGTTGATTCATTTTTACTGATGAACAATTCCTGATTACTTCTGTCTTTTTTAATGGTTGTATCTTCTTTCAACGTACACTTTTTGACAATTGCATGCTTTTCAATACAAGGAACAATAACACTTCTGTCACAGTCCTCACTATTACTCACAGTCTCCTTTTTCTCATGCTTCTTTCTCGCCGTATTTTCCATGTTACTGTAATCACTATCACTAATGGTACTATCATCATCACTGCTTTCTGGTTTATAATCCTCATTATCACTACTTTCTGGTTTATAATCCTCATCATCACTGCTATCTGGTTTATAATCCTCATCATCACTGCTTTCTGGTTTATAATCCTCATCATCACTGCTATCTGGTTTATAATTCTCATTATCACTACTTTCTGGTTTATAATCCTCATTATCACTACTTTCTGGTTTATAATCCTCATCATCACTGCTATCTGGTTTATAATCCTCATTATCACTACTTTCTGGTTTATAATCCTCATTATCACTACTTTCTGGTTTATGATACTCATCATCACTGCTTTCTGGTTTATAATCCTCATCATCACGGCTTTCAGCCTCTTCTTCAGTTTAATCATTCCTAAGACTTAAACTTCACATGGAAATTTTTTCTTTAATTTCATTACAAAAACTTTCCAGATCTGGTAGATTATTGATTGCATCTTCAGTAATACATTCTAAATACGCATCCCCTTGGTTTACCATGCGATCCATTACATTTTCGGCAGAATCAAAACTGATAATTGAATCAATATTGACTGGGTCTGTTTGGCATATACATGTACTGTGGTCATCATCTGGTGTGCTATTGAAGTCATTTTTTTCAAACTTGAATCACCACAGGATGGACTAATTGTAGGGTCAAAGGATACATGTGTGGTAATTTGGTTTTCAAGATAACAATTGCTGACAGCAGTATTCTCAATGGCAGAAACATTCAAATCAAAAATAAATAATTCTATATAAAATTTTGATCATTTAATAATTACTACAATGAGGCTCCATTGCTTTAGAAATGTTCTTAAAAAACATACTCTGGTCATCATCTGATGTGCTGTTGAAGTCATTTTTAGCCGGGCTCCATAGCGTAAGCTATGGCCTTGCTTACGGGATGGATGGCCTTTCTGTGCGGATTAATCCGGACGGTAACCCAACAACCGCCAATATAAACATTACCTGTCTCTACCATTACGCTTTTCAAATTAGATCAGTTCCTGTTCTCAATAATTCTTGATGATGACGCTTGGTTAAACTTTTCAAATATCAGAAATATATTGTTTTCTCACATCAGGCAAGCTTTTAAAGGAAGTTAATACCTATGTGAGAGTGAACGTTACCTCTGCTGCCATATGTACACACAAGCCACGTGCGACACTCAATCAAAATGTTTTTCGCTGATAAGACAACCTCTATATTTATAGAATGATGGAAAACTTCACTGTCTCGCCACGCGTGCATAGTATATGCGCACTTGTTACTAGGTTGGATGTTGCGATATTAGCACATTACATTGAAATTAAAAAAAGGAAAAAAATAATAACAGATGACAATAGTATTGCGAACTGCAAATTGAAAATATCGAACAAAATAATCTGGAGAATGTTGTTCCAGTTAAATCAAACGTGGGTAACAATGCGATATCCTGACACCGAGGTTATACAGGTATATCGTTATACAAAGACGATTTAAAAAAACTGCTTGTGTGTTAAAAAACTTAAATTTATTTAATAGGCTGTCGCAAAATAATATTTCTGAACTTCTTATGTAGCAGTTATTCCATGTATGTTTCATGTAAAACGGTACTGGTCACTGCTCTATAAATAAGTTCGGCTCTCTGTAGTCCTGTATCCCGTTTTACAAAAGAACTTACGACTAACGAGCCCCTGAGTACTTTGATTTTTCAGACTTGAATCGTCACAGGATGGACTAAGTGTAGGGTCATTTGTGGCAGTTTGGTTTTCAAGATAACAATTGCTGACAGCAGTCTCTTCAATAGCAGTCAAATCTGAAATGATTAATTCTCTGTTTCTACATAACCACAATTAAATCGGAATGAAATCTAGCATACAAGAAGTCATGAACACATTCTATAAATAGTATGGGTTACATTATTAGTTATCAAGTTTCAATCAAGGGTATGGTGATTTACCCTGGTTTTTATTCCATACACCCTAAGGCCGAAGGCCCAAGGTGAAGCCCGGGGTAAATCCCCGTACACCCTTGATTGGATCTCTCCAAAATACTTTTGGTAACCACAAGTCTTATCTACTGTGTATCAAACTATTGATTAGATTGACTACGTACTACAATGAATCGTGACGTCATGTCATAGCTTTTTATCACAGGAAAAGTATGCATTGTGACGTCATGTTATTTAACCCCGGCTCAAGTTGTACACCCGGATTGCTTACCAATCTAATCTCCTATTACAAGCTACATAGATAATTTATTTTTTGCTTCATGTTTTTGACGTCACTGTGTGAAAATGACGTCAAAATGTAGATGGCTTGTGACAAAAAATGGGAGAATCGGTTGTACTCAAGCAAGGAACAGCTGTAATGTCTTATGTAGATCTTAAAAAATTCTTTGCAATAATTTGTAATAATTTATACACAGCTAGGGCAACAAAAGTCTTTCTAGAAAGTTAATTAATAATTGGATGAATTGTTTGATGGAGGATGGGAAATGGTTTAAGGGGGCCGACTGGGGTTTCCATTACGCAATACTTCGCGCATCATAGTAAGATAAAGTGTATTTATTGTTTTAAAGCAACTTTCTTCTCATCAATAATAAAATTTAACAAAATGAAGAAATTACAGGTTGAAAAACTTAATTAAAATTTTATATAACTGATTTTTAAACGATTTTTCAATTGATAGGTAAATTGACGTCGTACTAGTGTGTTTTTCATGTTATAGTAAACTGAAGCCCTTAAAGAAGGCGTAATAAACATCTTATAACAGAAAAAGTATTAAATAATATAAGCTCTGGAAATTTAAAGCATAAAAATTTGAGAATCTCTTAATTATTTTTTTATGGTATAAATCCTTTGTACCTGTCATATTTTGTAATACTCCATACAAAACAAGGAAATTTTATTAATTTAGACATTCTCGGATGCCCCTTCAGGGATCGACATTAACGGTTGTCCGATTGCCCGGGACAAGGAAATTCCCAGTTCGGGCAAGTGAAACTGTTGAAGTACTTGTCCGATCGGGCTAGTGAATTTTTCTCATACAAATGTACATATTTATTTAGTTTACATTAATTTATAAATAAAAAAAAATTAACACTTGATTTCCGCCACGCACCAGATTGACAATGGTTTTGCATTTGGAATTCCTTGGTAGCTTTTCTTGATTATACTGTTCATTTAAGAATCGGGTTCGTTTTTTTCCTTCTAGTAAATACGCTCTACGTCAA